GGGAGAGGTGTCACTAAAAGACAAGCTTTATGTAGCGATCTGTATTCCTGAATATGAGTTGGTTCTAAAAAGACTTTTTGAGGTCCGTGCTTGAAATTTAGCAGCTACATCAACTGGACGTGTTTACACAATTTGTTCCTAATGTTCACACGCACACGCAGAGCTTCTTGGAACTGCCTCCCCGCATGCCCAGTTCAGAGAAGAATTATATAGTAGCAACTGCATTTTCGTGCATCACCTAAGTTCGCGTCATATATGTTTCGTATGTAGAAAATGCTACATCAAAATACACAACCATTTTTCAGTTTCACTGCTACTCTCATACTTTATGCAGTTCACAGAAAGAAACTGGATGTATAGCGAAAGTGATGCTCTTAGTGATTGTAAGCAATCCACCTCATGTCATATAGCAAGTCTGATGTACTGAAATACTGAACAGAACCCCAGAAAGCCAGTATTTTTTATGATAGGATTATCCTTCTTACAGAGCCCACCGCTCCCCTCTTTGACATGAAGCTCTTAATGTTGCAAAACCTGAGTACACGATGGATTTGACATCTCTCTGGAAAATAGCATCTGAGACACAAGTCCTAATGATTGTTTTTACAGGTGCCAATACAATGATAGTTTTCGATGCATCTTCACCTTCATATACCCCAAAGCCAGTGACACACAGGTTAATCGATGCCTTAAGATTTAATCAGAAAGTGTTGAGTAAGAAGTTGCTGTAGTGTGATACAGATAAGCAACAACCTAACTCTGAAGTGGATAACTGCTTCGTAGTGATTCAAGGAAATACACAACAGGATAGGCAAGGCAGACAGAATAAGGCAGAGCAAAAAACCCATAAAGATCAGTAACTCACCTTTAACTCTGATTAGCTGCAACTGTTTAGCAATCAAGAAAGGTTTAGCAGTAATCCTTATTTCTAAGTGGGAACAAAGAAAAAAAACATAGTCTAAGCAAAATAACCTTTCTGGCCTGTAGAGCCAGACAGAGAAAAGCAACAGAGCATGGGAGTCCATCCCTTCTTCCCTCCTGCCTTTCCTCTGTCCCCAACACTGACAGCTCCCAAGGACGGGCCTCTCTAAGGAAAAGTTATCCTGCCCTTTTGGTTACTCTTCCTACCCCTCCTGCTCTAGAAGGTAATTTGTTTTAACACATCATTGAAAAAAACCAGCATGATTTCTCCTCATTAGTAGTTACAAAAATGAAGGTTTTCTTGGGTCAGTTTGTTTGTGTTTAAACAAGAATAATTGCAATTCAGATTTGCTGAGCCAGTTTTTAAAGAAACTTATGGGAAAACCAACCAAACACCATAAAAATGACACCACAAACACAGATGAAGACATATAACATCTTACACACATTAACCTCATGCCCTGAAGTCACATTGCTAAGCCAGCCCGCGCAGTGTTCTAGAAAGGAAGGTGAGAACTTCCTTTGCTTGGCAGGAATAGGTGAACCACGCAAGCACAGAAACAAGTCAAGACACCGATGGAGAAAAGAGGAAACGGACGGAGGCGGGAAATGGGGGGCCCTTGCTGCTTTTCATTCAACAGCATAGGCCGACTTAACATGAGAAGCAAGTTAAAGAATTGTTCAACACTAGGGAAGTCTCCTGCAGAGCATCTTGCCTAGCTTCAGCCACAGCACTTTAAGATGGATATGGAGTAAGTGAAGAGAGGCCAGCAAGAGCAATAAGAAAAGATGACCAATAAAGACAGACCAGACAAGCTGGGCATATTTTAGCCTAAAACAGAGGGGGGGAGGAGGGGGGAAGATGGGGACAGATACTCCCACTTGAAGATTTTTAAGAACCAGCTAACTAGGCACGCATCAGGAACAGAACAGATAGGTTTATCTTCACCTTAAAGCAGAGGGAAAGGATGGACCTCTTGAGGTCATTTTAGCCCTCTATTTTTCTAGGATTCAGAAATGGACCCTTCAAAATAGCAACAGCTACTTCACTTATCTCCAAAGGAAGACACCCCTACAAAGGCCCCATATTGCACGCTGTCTTTTTTCCAGAATGTTATAATTTATTCCCATTCTAAAATATATGGAGATAATAATCTCTCTAGAATTAAAGGACTATAGTTTTCAGGTTTTGATGCAACACAATTAGATATCAGGGCTTTGAATAAAATAGAGTTTTAAACAGAAGGTTAAGACAGCATTAAAAAAAATGATTAGCATGTCAGTAGCGTTTGAACAGATAGCTCTTCAATAACATTGGACAGGGAATTTAAGGGAAAATACTTCAGAGAAGTAAATGAATATTTATTTCCAGCAGAATGATTTCTTTAAAGACAAAAATCAAAATTATGCAGGCTTTTTTTTGTTTCAAAAAGAATCACTTTGAAGGTAAAATATACCTACCCAAAGCAATTAAGATGAGAAGAAGAAAGATAGAGAAAAAGAATACTCCAAGGGCCAAGTATGTAGGACTGAAAGAACTATTCAGTCAAAGTATAATCATCCATTTTCCCCTGAATTATATTTATTTAATACGAACATAAAGGTGTGCAGAAGAGGTGAATGGGTTACAGGAGAAGGTAAAATAAAAGCTCTAAAATGTTGTTCTTTGGAAAGCATCACCACTATCAAAGAGAACTGCTTGCTGCAAGTCAGATTTCTGTTTGAATTCAAGACTAAGTTGTGCATGGCTCTGTGATAAACTACTAGAAGAGAAATAGAAGATTATAGAAGGAATACTTCTACAACAGTTAATAGTGCTTGACAGACTCCAGTCTTGGTTTTAGCAGTTGTAGATCTCAGCCATCAAACTTCTCACAGGTGACAAAGGAAGAAATTTTAAGTTAACTTTTACTTTACAGTCTTCCTCTCCAACTCTGGTCTTTAATTTGAAGGACAGGAGGAAGCTGAGCTTTCCCTGGCCTCCATCATATGCTTGCCATGAGATGAAAAACAAAATATGTATCAGATTGCGCTGTATGACCACAATTATTCATAAGTTTGTAAGTGCTACCAAATACCTGTCTCATTCGCTTGCCCCAAGAGTCAGCTTTATTCATTTATTTGCTTTTATTAAACTATTTATTTATGAATTCTCGCTTAAAACAGCTGAAAATCCTAAAGACGAGCACAAAGGATCCTTAATAACCTCAGATTAGAGTGTTCCATGGTTTCACTACAAAAATGAGAAACCACTTGAATGCAATATTTTGCATCACAACTCCAGCTCAACACTTCTGGGGCAGAAACCTGGGATATTTTACAATTTTAAATGCCATTACAGAAAACAAGAACATATTCTCCTTTCAGTCACATTTCCTCACCTAGCACATAGATTTATAGATAATCTCTGTACTTGCCTTTGGTCGTGTATGATGCCCTGACGTTAATTTAGAAATAATTCAGAAAGAAAAGTAGACTTCCTATTTTATTACCCATCTCCCTTCACAAAGCAAACACGTTTCCTCTAAGGCCTCACAAGAAGAACGAAGAGGACGTACTTTGTTTCAGCTCCTGGTGTGAGGCATCAGATGTTCCTCTAGTCAACCCTTGCTGGGGGCACAGCAAGTTTTTTCAGAGGCTGCATCAAAGGCCTAGCTCTGACGGATGCATAAAATAAGACACACTGAGAGCAAAGCTTTCAAGAGGAAAAAAGACCAATGGGCTTAAGGAAAAAAGGTATTTCAGGTTACCTGTGTGTTTTTAAAAATTGTAGCTGGGAATAAAAATTAAAGATAATGTGGAAAAAATATTATACTACCTGCCACAGGTCGTTTAAGTACCATGCACCGGGCAGGCAGTTACTTCAGTAACTGAACAGATCCCATTCCTCCATATTTTACTTTCATTGAGAAGAGATGACTTCAAGTTTGTTGTTAACGTACCTGTCCTGGCTTCCTTCTGTGACGTGATAGAGACGATTGGCACCTCCATCAGCACAAGCTCTCAGTGCAGCTGCAAGTGAAGAAACAGAACATCAACGTATTGGCATTATAAACAAAAACACACGACCAGTTACTCCATTACTGACATTTCTGTGTAAACTCATTCATTGCAGAGCAGGGAACAAACTTGAGATCTCATATGGCTTTTAGCTTCCCATACTTGACTATTTCCCTTGTTTCTCTAAACAGACATTTGAACCGGTTTTATCAGACTAGTGCCAATCTTCACCTGTCTGTGCCACTGTACTTTCCAAATAGCTTATTTCTATCTACCCTAACCTACTGCCCAGTCAGCTGAAACTACATGGGGGGGCAAATAGTCAAAACCTGAAAAGGGCCCATCCTCCATGTATGGGCATGTACTTGTCTAAATAAGTGGGAACTTGCACCTTAAACCTAACAATCTTCTCACCCAGGCAAAAAGTTCACAATGGGGGCTCTATAATGACCTGCATAAAAACTGGGGGGGAATAGTTAGGCATGACAATACCTGTTTTCTCTTTTTTCCTCTCCTATGACACAAAAGTGATAACTGTACTACAGTTCCTCCACAGACTGTTCGAATCATCTGATATAAAGCAGGTGGGTTAGGTCTTGGCTTGAAATCTTGAACGTTCCGGGTACAAAAGGAATAAAATCTCAATAATTTTCAGTGCTTCCACATAACTTGAGGACGGCAAAGGGCACACACCAGTCATTTCAATTGATTTAAACAAGCACAGACATGCTGTTCTCTTTTGATCCTTTTGTTTATATAGACTTAAGTCAGAGAAAAGAGAAAAGTCTAACACTACTATTACAAAATCAGATATAAATTGGTATATTTTATTCATAAGCATCCCTAATAATCATCATTTAACTAATACACAGTTCTTTCATGAGATCTTTTAAATATGATAAGCCATTAAAGATTGAAAATGACCATCTTGTCTTAGCAGTCTTTATCAGTTTTGCTCCAAGATGCACAAGTCAGATAACCACAGCACGCAAGATAAAAGAAGCTGTCACTTCTACACTAGAGCAGAGCATTCCTTCCAGGTCTGCAGGCAAAGAGAGACCGTCTGGTAGACCTGAGAGGGCTGAAAGTCAAGAGGATCGGGGGGAAGAGGGGAAAGGGAAAAAAGAGGAGAGACAAAGGAAAGGAACAGGCTGCCCATGTTTTGGAAAAAAAAGGCATAAACAATCAGATCGGGCACTACCAGCTGCTGAGAATCCAGTTTTCAGCTAAAGCCGCTTTGCTTTGGCATTTATTTCTCAGTCAGAACCACCTCTCAGCAGTGATACAAACCTACATTTTTCCTTTTGGCACTCATTATTAGGTGGGCAATCCGCCTCTCCCCCTAGCTTAGCCATCAACTTAGCCAGCCTATACAAATGGGGACAACAGTTCATATCTCTACATCTGCTCTCATCTTTAAGCCATTCTTATTTGGCTGCTGAACTCCCACCACAGGGAATGTTCTGTATGGGTATATCCACCACGCAGTACCATGCGACCTCGGCTGAGGATTTTTGGAAAAAAAAAAAAAAAAAAAAAAAAAAGAAGAAAGCAGGGCAGCACAAAAGCTACCAGTTCATCACAGGTAGCTTTGGGTACAGCAGCTTTTCTCCTGCGGGCAGCAAGAATGTGCAGGGCAGGAGAACGAGCATTGCACTCCTCAGTATCTCTTCTAGCACTGCTTCTGCTCCAGCGAGCCCTGTTCTCTCTTGTCCATAGTATTACAGTACCCACTATGGTAAGCACTGCCTCTCTCAGCCTTCTTGTGCAGACCGTGCTCTTCTCTGTCTCCTTATCCTACTTCGCCCACTCCGTCCAGCCACTATCCAAACCCATATTAACAAGCCAAGGTCAAGCAGATTCGATCCTGACAAATCTTATTAGCTGAGATCATTTCTAATTTATGGTAGCTGGCCAGCCACTTACCATGGTGATTCACTGCTTCAGGCTCTTGCCAGGTTCCTCATCCATCCTCATGAATATAAACATCACAAGACAAGAAGAACAACCTTTTTTGCCCACTGTGTCCGACTGGAAACTTTTAACTTCTCCTCTCACTCGAGGTTACAACTGAAACTGGATTAATGTAATTCCTTTCACCTGGGCATATTTGTTCTCTCCGAGAGCTCAGCTCACAAAGAATTTAGTAATGGCCCATTGCAAGAAGAGTGTGTAATATCTGTCCTTATATTAGCTAACCTGTCCGTTGGTTTATTTAGCAGATATAAGGCATCTAAGCAAGGCCTAGGACCTAAGCAATTACAGAATCTCTTCTCTCCCCTTGAGCTACAAAAGCAATTAATCAGCTAAGACACTACAACCAGAACTGTAAGAAGGCTGCAGAAAAATTATTTTCTAACTTTGGGTGCAGAACCTGCCTAAAGGATGCTTCCTGGGCCAAAGACAGCCCCAGCTTTTTCCTTCTGAGAACAGTGATTTTTACATCTATTCTCCCATATTTTGAACAAATAAGTGGCTTGTGACTTCTGGGAAAAAAAAAGAAGGGATGAGATACAGAAAAAGAGAGATGAAAGAGTCTATTATCTGTCCCAATTATTTTCAGACAGCCAGAGCCTTAACTATTGTAAATTGTCTCAATGGACTTACCACAAGTGAAGCCTGGCCTAAGATCTCTTCACCTGATCTTATTATTTTAAAACAACATGACCAAAACCCTAAAACAGACTAAGTATTACAAAGCAAAACAGTCTTCAATCAGTCTGGTACATGTAAAACTACTGAGATTCTCCCAAAGACCTGAAGGTGCCTAAGTAACAGGTCTATGACACTTGTATGCTGTCCACATGGACATGCGGCTACTATGTGATATCTCAAATCAAAATAATTGCCTTATACAACTGCAATTTCAAGCTGTCCCCCACATATTTATTCTTAGAAATAAGAATAAGTAATTAAAAAAAAATTCGGCAGCATTATAAAGTTATTTAGAGAAACTATTTATGAGGTACTGATCCTTTACCAGCAAGTTAATGACTTACACTGGAATGAACCAAAGCCCCAGGTGCTTTAAGTAACTAGCAGGTAATTAACTGATTGGCTGGAGGCCAGTAAATCATATTATTTCTACAGCTATGAACCAAGTTTTGCTTGATAAAAGGTAATGATATGTATTAGCTGGAAGAACATATATCATTATTATCTGGAAGTGTTTAAGGAGATGGTCAGCAATTCTAAGCTTACAATTCATATGGAAAATTCTCTATGAAAAGACAACAGGAACTGATTTGATACAGTGCCTTTTCTATTAGAGACAAAATTGCTTTACAAACAACAATTTGGCCAAGGTGCGGCACAGCAACCATGTAGGCAAATCTAGCAGTCTCTAGGCACTTTGCAACAGCTCACACAAAACCTCATTAATTATTTCAGCAGAAACTGAAGGACCTGAACAAGATCAGGGCTTTGTTTTGCTTGGCATAGCGAAAACAGAGAGACCTTCTTCCAAGAAGTTTACAATTTAACCAGCTGAAAAAAAACAAATTAAAAGGTGGGAAGTGACACAGAGGGATGAAGTGCTAATGGTCACACACGAGTCAAAGACAATTTATCTTCCAGGGCGACCAAAATGGACGGTAGGGCTTGCAGAAGGAAGAATAACTGAAGTGGTCAGGCAGAACACAGAAAGTCTTGCACACACCTTCTCTTCTGACCCAAAGGTTACTATCCCATTATTGGAGACCCCTCAAACTTGCCAGGTGTGCTGCACAAGGAAGTACTCTCTAGCTTATGTATGTCAGAAAGAACTAAGTCAGTAAAGACATTATCTAAAGGCTTTTAGTTAATCCTGCCTCTGTGAGCTGAGCCAGACAAAGGAATGGTCATCCAAGTAGCTCACTGAGCTCTGATGGGTCAGGAGGACCAACACCTCCAGCAAAGATGCTGTGATATGCAATTGGGAGCAGCGGCTTTTTCAGCTGGCACAACTGGAAGCAGAGGAGACCCGTGCCCTCTGCCACCCTGCTCAGCTGGAGAGCCCCACGTATTGTTTCATGCCTTTGCCATTAGAAGAGACGACACTAAGAGGACAAGGGCGCGAGTGCGCGGCAGCACTAGCTCAGTGTGAGAATCTGCACTCCTTAGCATTACCACAAATTACCACCTTTCTAACCTGAATATTCTCTGTTAAGCTCCACTCCTCAGATATAGCTCCGTCTGTCAAATTACCACCTTTTCTATCTGTCAAATTCCTTTCTGATGTAACTCCAGTCTCATTCGGTGAACTAGGGAATGGAGACATAACCAAAAAATCAGCTGTCTCATTGTGCTGCTTAGTGGAAAAGTACAGAAGAGGGAAGTCAATGCCACTGCCAGTAATTGCTACCCAAGTTACTGGGAGCAGCATATGTTCAGTCCAGTAGTGTTTGATATTACAGCAAGAGTGACTACCCTTCCGCTCCCGCTATGCTGAGGAAGAGTTACGTCAAGAGCATATTATCAGCCCATGACATCTCTGAAAGGGTTTCTCATAGGCAATGTGAATGAAGAAACCAAAGTCTTTTTGAGCAATGTCCTTCATTTTAAATGGCGTCTTTTCTGCTAGGAACCAGTGAACTATTTCCTTTTAGTGATGCAAGTTGAGAGCCCAATATTAGGGCTAATTATCAGTGAATATGTTTTTACAAAAATTATTCTAACACAACAAAAATAATGGAAACAATTTATATTACACTTATATTTACTCTTTTGGTAACTATAAATAACTTCCTGTCACTGCGAGACAGGACACGAACAGCACATCAAACACAAAAAGGAAGGTCTTGGCTCTGAGCTAACTAGTCCTGAAGCTTTTTGCACAAGAGAAGCAAGTATTTTATCACACCTTCAATAGCCCTGCAAATTCAGGTGGGGGAAAAGACTCTACAGAACAGATACAATTCTTGCAGACTAAGATGAGGGCATGAAAAGGGAATACATTTGTACACAGTTCCAATAGCTGGGGAAGAAAAGCATAACTTTATTATTATTATTCCTATTGTATTATTCCTTGCAAT